GCCATTAGCCATGATGGTCAGGAACACATCCCTATGTTCTGGGCGTCCCAAATCCTCTGTTTGCCAGCTGGAATGGGATGATAGGGGATGCATCACTTGATGATTGCCCTGTTCTAGTCATTTTCTCGGAAGCATCTGGCATCTGCCACTACTGGAAGACAGGATACTGGGGTTAGATTGACCACTAGTCCCACCCAGTATGACCATTCTTATGTGTAGCACCTTATTCAACGCATAGTTCTATTGAGGCTACTATGGAGTAAATGTGGCAGACTCTGGCCCTGTAATTTTTAAGTGCTGTCTGTGGGCTTGTCTAGATGGGGAGTTTGTGCTTGGCAAGCTGGGGGTAAATCTACAGCACACTACCTGGCCACGTGGACCCTGCTACTGTGCACTACGAATGGTAGCAGTACCACATAGCCAGTGGGCCACATGCTAGTGCACCTTAGATTTCCACCCCAGCTTGCAGTGGGATAATTCTGTCCAAACAAGGCCAGTATATTCATGTACCTGCTCATTTTTCCTAAATAAATAAGGCATTTGAATGAGTCAACTTTCATGTTAGTTTTCATGAAAAATAAGTTAATGGTTGACAGATGGAATAGTATTGTGTAGGGAGGAATAAGTTTTACAGTGCTGAAGTTTAAAACAGGTTATTAACCTATGCTTAAAATGTTTTATTAAACTTCTTTTCTCCCAACACATTCCACCTTTAAGAATCTTTGTGAAACCATAAAATGAACAATATTTATACCATCATAATTACATCTCTTGTCATTTTCCATTTGATTTTGAAGAGACAACTGTTTTCTGACAGAGTATGGTAACTGCATTTTTGGCATCTCAGCTGGCATGCCCTCATTCATGCTGAAAGGTCCAGCATTGCAGCTCCCCTCCTTCTATGTCCATTAATGCTGCTTGGAATGCCAAAGGTCACAGTATAAGACAGTAGCGGGGAAATGGTCCTTTTCCCGACTGGCTGAGCATGTTACCTTCAGGACAGAATGCTTTCTTCTGGGTCAGGAATGGCCAGGACTCAGTGCATGGCGGTGAGACAAGGCCATACTGCTCATAACACACTAACACAGTTGCTTGAACCCAAACACCCCTTCCACCAACACTCAAATCTCTCTACACTGCAATAGAACACCTGTGAATGGCCCTTGTCAGCGGGGCCCCAGAGCCCAGGCTCCAGCCTGAATCTATATGGCTATACTGCAACTATACAGCCCATCCCAGGGCCTAAGCTCCTCTGGGGAACTTTCTGATGCCCTCCTATTTCCCCCCCCCCCCCACCACCGCAAGGAACATCCCATTGCAGAAAACAGACAGAAAAGGGACAAAAGCTGGTCTGGGGCCTGCTATGTTTCTGGCTCCAAATGAATGTTTGTTAATATAGGAATGGAAGGGATTTCTATTCTACACACTAGTGCAGTGGTTATCAGGAGTCCCAGCTAGCAGCTAGTGGTAGATTGTATCAGGGGTGCTGGAACAATTTTTATAGTGGGTGTGCTGATGAGGAAACCATGTTTTTGGTGTTTGTTATGACTACTTGAAGACAGGGGGTGCAGCAGCACCACTGAAGTGTATGACCCATTAGCTAATGACAGATTGTCGCATCGTCTGTCCATCCCCTCCCCCACAGTATAGAGTTCAAAATGGTGACCAGAAAATGCAAACGGTAAAAATGCCTTGAAAGTGAATTTTTACTGGAAAGCTGCAGATTTTTGGCTAGGGCATTCCTATTTCTTAATAATAATTTTACTTTTCCATGCCTGTAAACATGCTGCTCTGTAACCACTCAATGGTGTAACAAACTGCCTGGAAACAGTGAGCTGGGGGTGGGGAGAAGGGAGGTGGAAATGTGTTCTATTTACAAATCTAGTCCCATAGGTGCCAACTCCATGGGTGCTTCAGGGCTAGAGAACCCAGAGGAAAAAAATTAGTGGATGCTAATTGCCACCAGCAACCAGCTCTCCCCTCCCGCCCAGCACCTCCTGCCTCGCAGCAGCCCCACCCATCAACTCCTCCCCCTGTGCCTCCTGCCCACCATGATCAGCTGTTCTGCAGCATGCAGGAGGTGTTGGGAGGGGGAGGAGCGTGGACAGGGGGAGCTGGCAGAACGAAGTGGGAAGAGGTGGGGTGGGGTCTTGGGAGAAGGGGTGGGGACAGGGTCTGGGGCAGAGTGGGAGCAAGAAGAGGCAAGACAGGGGAGGGGGCTTAGGGGAAGAGGGTAGGTGGGAGGGAGCATGGCCTGGAGCAGAGCGCGAGGTTGAGCACTCCCAAGGCCAGAGGAAGCCAGCGCCTGTGTTTTAGTATATTTCAGTTAAAGGTGGTCCATGAAGTCCTACAAGAGGGGTTTGAAATGTTGTCCACAAATGTGCCTGGCGGGGGCAGAAGAGGATGGCTGTGGCGTTCTGTGTGTTTGCATGCATCCATAACAGGCTAAGCCACGTGGAAGATCATGCAGCATCCTGTTGATTCCTCCATGAATTCTGACCCAACCCCAGGTGCTGCTAGCTGCAAACTTTTCCTGTATCTAGAACTCCAGATAGGCAGTTGTATTTCTGTGGAAGATATATTTTCCAGGGCCATCTCAGTAGCTAAGCAGCCCACTCCATTCATAGATGTGCTGTTCAGTCACTATACATTTGAATTCTCCAGTTGCATACAGTGCTGGTTTCTCACAGGCAGCTTGAAATAACATCTCCCTTTGCAAATTGGGCACAAGAACTGATGTCCTCCAAAATGTGGGAAGCCCAAAATGATAGAAAAATCTTTTGTAGCATGGCCATTGATGGCATCCCCCAACGTGAGCTGTTCTGCAATTTTTTTTTTAAAAGCAGCTTTGATTTTTTTTTTTTAAACTTACCATTGTCTCTGAACGTCTTTTGCTGCTATTAACCTGGCTGTATCCAGGGAGCTTCTGTGCTTGCAAGCATCCCTCTCACATGTACTGAAATTCAGTTTTGAAAAGTAACATTTTACATCTTTGAAATTCCACAGTTCCTGCACAGAGCTCTTTGAAACAATAACCATCTTGTCCTATTCCAGCCCCTGGACCTCTATTGGCTGCAGTACCTCCACAGTTCGCCCACACTGCAGCAGAAGCCAGGGTCAACGTACCTTCACGGACTGTTCAAGAAGCATTTCTGTGATTAACTTATGGTCGAAGTTTTGGACAGGCCCACCGACAGTGGGCAGTCTAGTACCAAAGACAGAAGGACTTGTGGCTAGAGCAAAGGCTCAGGCTTGCTACACAGCTTGGGGATAGGGTTTCAGCACAGAAGCAAGCACTTGCTTAGCAGTTCCTGGAACAGAGATGATAGTTCTCAAAAAGGAGTACTTGCATCCAATGAAGTGAGCTGTAGCTCACGAAAGCTTATGCTCAAATAAATTGGTTAGTCTCTAAGGTGCCACAAGTACTCCTTTTCTTTTTGCGAATACAGACTAGCACGGCTGCTACTCTGAAACCTGATGATAGCTCCGTCATTCTCCCTTAGCCAAGCAGAACTGTTCAAGTGGCTATTATCACTAATGACTCCTGCTGTACCTACACCACAGTCTGAATCCCCTCCCTGGGATCTTGTTATGCAGTCCAGAAACAACTTGGACCATAGCTGGGTGTGCATGTCATCAAGCCCTCTGAACAGCTGGGCAGGGCAGCTGTGTCCTATGTAGTTCTCCATAGTGACCCCTTCCCTTATAGATACCTCCACCCTTACTGCCCTGATGCCAAGAATGCAGCCAACATGCGAAGAAGGGAAAAGAGAACAGGTGGCTAGTGGACATGAAGCAGTATGGAGTTTCTCTTTTACATGCACTTGTTCAGGCACTTTTTATTTTTAAAAGGTTGTGGTGTTAATGCTATTTTGGTGTAGTAATGGCAGTAGGTCAGTGGTGAACTTTTCACACTGCACTGTGGATGCCAGAGCCCTGAATTCAAGTCCAGGCTAGAAAATTCTTAATCTAGGATTTACCAGTGTAGATATTCAGCCCTGAGTTCTCTAATTCTGGGTCTACTGACTTGAGTCCTACTAACACTGGGTTTACATTGCAACAGAAACATACCCTTTTTTCCCTATACAAGGCCTGAAGTATGGGTAATTGATGCTGGGGAAATAAGAGGGCACTTTGTTTCCTCACTCCTCTATGTGGACACAAAGTAGCTCACAGTTATGCTAAAAGTTAAGTTACTGAAAAATAAGAATTTTTGTTGAAAGTATTTTGCATTATTCCCCCAATTCTAAGCTGTTTTACAGAAATTAAGGCATTTAATTTGACTTCAAGCTGCTCCTATATTAATGTTATATCCATGGGATACAGAAACTAAATTTTAACCTTTATATTTATATACACTATACCTGTCATTCAACATTAGTGCAGCTTTTTTAGATACAATACTGTTATTTGTTCAATTCCTTTACTTAGAGTAATTCCCAGGTAGGAAAAGAAGAAAAGATTTTACATAGCAGTAGATACAGCCTCTGGCAAGGGTGAGGGGCTGTGAGACTAACCATATCACTTTTATATTTATATATACACAGACACTTCTTTGTATGAGTGAGTGAGTGATCTATTAGACTCAGGATAATGACCACTTCAAACTGAATTATGATGATTCATTTCTTACTGCAATTCTATACGTCCTAGACAGTGCAATCATTATGGCTAACCTTTAGACGGGGAATAGTAGTTTGTATTCAACTGCCTTACTAATTGTCTGAAAATTCTCTTCTGAAATTTTAAACTTTCCTCCATGATTAAAAGACCCAGAACTTTCTTAAGAGTGAAGCACTTTATGGAAGAGGACGCATTAAAAATGGGCAACTCACTTCAGTGATTTTTGAGACAGTGCCTACCACCTATCTCCATATAGCACCTAAATTTTAGTCTCTGTAACCTATCTTTAGTCTTTCCTCCCTTTGTTGATTACTCCTGGGGAATTCTGCACCACTGATTCTTTATACACATAGAGCCTACAAAATAAAGCTACAACATTTGAGATGTGACATTTTATAATGTCCCTTTAAAGATACAATACGTACAGACCCCTGAGAACTATTTTCTTGGAACATATTCATTAGACTGCCAAAACAGTTTCAACATCAGCAGAAAATCAGACAAAAAAGGATTGAGTTAAATACAGTTGCTAAAGTACATTCATGGTATTATACCTGAAACTGTGAGTCTGAAGATGTAAATTAGTGTAAGAAACAAAACTACAAAGTTGTGAAAATACCCCCAACCCCATACAAGTTAAACTGTAAATGAGAGGGTAACAACTTTATTCTGGAAAAAAAAAAACACAGAATAGGTGACACTATATTTGTTCTTTAAAAACAGTCAGGTAGAGTACCTTCAAATAGATGCTGCCTTATCATGATTATGAATGTGTTTGATGTTTTAAAACATTGCACTTCAGCCCAGAGAGCAGGGTTTGTTTTTTTCAGTAGGCAAGGCAGTGTTTATATTTATCTACACTAATATTTTAGAGTAGAAATGTTCTTAGGTGTAGGAATGTTACAATGAAATGACCTTTGAACAAGGCAGTTGTTTCAAATTTCCACACTCTATACCATCTGTCCTACTTGTAAACAGAGTGCTTTTAATGGCAGTTCCTGTATATAGTTTGGTGTTTTTTTTTAAAAGGACAAAGGCTTGCAGACTGTTCCATATTGTCTTCTAATGTAAGTACATAATGCTACACAATGTGCTTTCTGAAAGTCTACTGCCACATCTTCACCATAATAGGTTTTGGTAAATAGCCTATGCAACTTGCCTATACAAAAAGTAAAGGCAGCAGTACAGACAGTAGAGCAAGAGTTTGTGGTTAAGATTCTTCCTCTCCTTCCCCCACCAAAAACAATTTCACAGCAATTCAACCCCTTTAGGCAAATGTACCATATTACTAGAGCAAGACCCTGGTGGTACCAATCATCTATTGCATACCTTAAATATGTGCACTCTAAGAAATTGTTTACACTACTTTTTACCTCATCAACAGATTAGCCATTACAAACATTAATTGCCAATCTGGATATTTCCCGAATAGCTATTTCAGGCTACAAACATTTGCCCTTTAGCACCCAGATTAGCATTTATGAACGTATTTACCTTGAGTTAACTGGAGATCAAAACCTTGAGTGTAGGGTTAGTCTCCACCAGGAAAACAGGGAGGTCCTTACCTGTTGGCCAACATATCCTAAAAGCCTAGGCAGACAAGGCAAATTGTAGTTTTCATCCATGTTAGCAGATTAAAGTAAATCCTAGGCCTGGTCTATGCTGAAAATTTAGGCTGACCTAGCTATATAGCTTAGGGGTGTGAATTCTACATCTCAGGAGAGTGAATTTAAGTCAACCTAAACCCCAGCGTAGACAGCACTAGGCTAACGGAAAAATTCCACCTCTCTGAAAAGCTTTTACCATATTACCAACCATGAAGAACAAACATTTTTTCCTAGACAGGGTCGCAGCTTGTAATAGGCTATAGAACTCTGGAGTCTGAGCATTGTATTTCCTGATCCACTGAAGTGTACATTACCATAAGGCAATTCAGATTTTATCTTGTTGAACAAAAAGTAGGCAACAGCATACCTCTATTTAGAGGATCAGCATACAAATCACAGAAACCATAAAGAGTTGTCACAGGGATACTGCAGTGGTTACCAGCCTCTAGCATAGCACATCAATTTACAGCAGTTTAGAACAAGCAGTTTAATCCCACATTATAATTCAGCATTTGAAGACCCACAAACTGCTATTGTTGTTTTAGAATAAATCAATGTTAGTTTTATTTGCAGCTCTGCTGGGACCTGCTGATCAGTCACAAGTTTCCTCTGCAGTCTCAGAGACCGGAAAGTGTTTCCTTTGCAGCCCCCATTCAGTCCCACTGGGTGATTCTCTCCTGCTCAGGGATCACGCTCCAGTTAGGCGAGGGCTCATCTCTGGCCAGCCAGTCAAAGTCATCCACCAAGTTCCAGTTATTCCTGCCTCTGTCCAGCCCGGAGGACTCGTAGTCGTCCTCGATGCCTGGGTAGCTCCAAGTGTAGGGGGCGAAGCGGACGCCGCTGCAGTCCTCCACCATAGCCCGGCTGGTCACCTGCACGTAGATCCGGGCGTCCCGGGTGCGGTGGGTGCGGAGCTGCTGGCAGGCCAGCGCCAGGAGGCAGTCGCTACACCCGTCCACCAGCACCGAGGTGGAGACGGGGCCACAGAGCACGGTGCAGCCCCGGCAGTCCCGCACCCGGAGCGTGTTGGGGTTGCCGCGGAGCAGCACCCGGCAGTCGGTCAGGTCGGCCAGGAGCACATCGCGCTGCAGCAGTTCCGAGGGGCCGAGCTCCAGCGTCTGGGCCTCGGCCCGGCTGAAGCCGCACAGCGGGGGGCCGCTCCCTTCGCCTTCCGCGGGCAGCTGGCCGGCCGGCGGGGCGGACTCCGAGGGCAGCTGGCCGGCCGGGGCAGGCGGCGGGGCGGACTCCGCCTCCTTCCTGCGGGCCCGGAAGGCGAATCGCTTCTTGGGCTGCAGCTGCTGGCGCCTGGCCGCCAAGGCCGCCTGGAGCCGACTCAGCGCCTCCTGCCCCTGCCGCACCTCGTACGGCGCCAGGAAGCGGACACTGTCGGTGAGGAGCTTCTGCAGCCCTTGCAGCCGGGCAGCCGCCTCCTCCAGCGACTCGGTCTGGCCCGCCGCATCCTCCTCCGCCTGGCCCGGGCCGGGCCCCAGCAGCGCCTCGATGGCCGCCCGCTCCCGGGAGAAGGCGGCCGCGAAGAACCCGCTCTGCTCCTCCTGCACCGCCTGGGCCGCCTTCTCCTGCCGCCGCCGCTCCGCTTCCCGCTGCCGCTCCGCTTCCCGCCGCTGCAGCCGCTCCGGCACCGCCGCCACCGCCCGCGGCCCCAGAGGGGCAGCCCCGCCGCCGCCCGGAGCTGCCGGACCCCGCTCTGCTGCCGCCGCCGCCTCCATCTTCTCTCCCGTCCCGCCGCTCCGCCTCTCACTAAGCGGCCTGCTCATTGGCTCCCGGCACCCTGGGCTGGGTCCCCGCCCGCGATTGGCGGCCGGCCTTTAAGGCGGGGGGGATGGGCGGGGCCTCGTGTGTTTTTAAAGGGGCCGGCGCCTCTCTGCGGGACGGGTGAGTCTCCGCATTAGACGTGGCCGCCTGTGGGTTTGTTGTTATTGGGCTTCCGAAATTAGAGCCAGGCCGTAAATAACCCCGCGTGACCCCCTCCCCCGCCAGCGCGCGGGGCCGGTCCCCTGCTGAGCCCGGCGGAGGAGGCCGCGCGACCAGTAGCAGCAGGTGCGCGCGCTACTCGCCGGCCGCGCGGCGTGGCCCTGCTCGCGGCTGGGCCAGGCACGGGGGCAGCCTCGGCTTCGCCCGTCAGGAGAGACCCCCGCGGGGGTGACGGAGCGTCGGCTCCCCCCTCTGACCGGTCCCTTCCCTCAGCTGGGTGCTGCGGTCCCCTAGCCGGGGCCTTCCTGCGTCAGCGTCAGCGCCCCCCCGGGCGGGGGGAGTCTGCTGAGAGCAGCCGGAGGAGAGCGGGGCTGGGGCTGCGCGTCAGGCGCGGGCCGGGGTAACCCCACAGCAGGAGCAATAAGGGGCCAGAGCCGAAATAACCCTGATCCCCTCTCCCCTGCCATGACGACCCTCCCCCCCCCCCCCCCCGCGGCCTGTTCCCTCTGCAGAGCCTCTTCCGGTCGCCTGTCCGGTCGCTTTGAAGATGGGCTGCAGGGAGGTTTTCTTCCCGCTCCCTGTTTTCTTCCTTCCGTGACTTCTTGTAAATAATTTGCAGTCTGGGGTGTTGTCGCGACTAGAATGTATTTGACGTTCAAAATAAAGTCTGGCCTAAGCGAGTGATGGCTGCCCACTGAATTATGTTATTTTTATTGTGAATTTCTGTGTATTGTGAATGTCTTGGCCCAGTAGACTACAAAGAGGAAGACCTGGGCTGTGCCCCTGAAGGAACTTACAGAATAAATGGACAGGTATTGAAAGTACTATCAAAATTAAGACCGAGTACACTGGATACCTAGGGCTTAAGGAGGCTCCAGTATCAAAGTGGTATAGATAAGACAAACATTTGTAGTACTTCCTGTACTAAATTTCATTTGGTGCAGCTATGTGATGCTGGCTGATGGCACTGCACATGCTCCTCAGAACTATTATCAGGGATCGAGTGACCTTTTTCAAAAAGTCAAATTTGCAAATGGAGTATTTGGAGGCACAAATAAACAGGGATCTAAGTAGCTATTTATAGGTGCAAATGCTCAGTTTGACTGCACCATTGCAGTTGTGTTTTTCATGATTGTGCATCTGACTTCTTGTCTCTCTGTTTTATCCCGAAGGGAAGGGTACAGGTGAAGGGTGTGCATGTGAGTCCTAATGTGTTTAGAGGTAGGAAGCTGTTGCAAAAATATAGAACTACCAAGGATTTCTCTCACTCTGTTATTCTTTTTACTCTGTTTCTTAAATTTATTTTACAGTCAAGGCATATTTTTGAAGTATGTTTGTTGCTGAAGCTACAGAAATAAAGTAAGCTTGCTGGCTTCACAGTAGAAATATAGTCCGCTGTTGCTGTGAATTGGCAATTCTCAGCAGAACATATATTTTTTGGTTAAACTGATGTTCTGTAACACAAAGGAAGTTTATATAGTATGAGGAAGATTGCTTTATAAAAAAATAAATCTTAACACCTGTTCAGTTCTACCACTTGCCATCTTCCTCCTTGAATGTAGAAAATGCATAAAATATAAACAATTATAAAATCCCCCCCGACAACCTCAGAAACAATCCATTAAAATGAAAATGTGAAATACTCCGAGAAAGTGGTCTGGGTTTGATATCTTTTATTTGGAAAATAATCTGTTTTTTGTCTGCTATAACAGATTGCCTGTCACAGTTAGGAGTGGGCATTGAATCTGACTGACTTTGCAAGCTATAATATTTTGTTTATTGGAGAGACTGGGTTTCATTTTTGTGTCAAAAGTAAAATTACAGCATTAGCTACTAAGGAGTATCTGGACGGGACCTTGCATGTATTAAAGACAATCCATTTTGGACCCTGAAGGAAGAGGCAGTAAAGAAGGAAGGCAGTGAAATGCCCTTCTTTCTTGTTTTGCAAAAGCTTAAGTTTTGAAGGGTTCTGCATTGCAATGGAGAGGGGGTATTGGTGGAATAACTTTGATGTTATGATTTAAAAATTGAAGGATGAATGTTTGTCTAGTGAGATAAGTACTTCTCAGCAGGTTTGTAAGCGTGAGGCGAAAGTAACACAGTAATTGCAGTGGAATCATATTGCTTTCTTGTAATTGATTTCCAGCATACCAGAGGTAATAGTCTATTCAGATGGAATATAGAAGGGTAATGTAGTGTTTAATGCATTCCAGCACTTAGCTGTCTCAACACTGCAAAGTTAATGGGTCCAGAATTCTGCTTGTAAAGGAACATAAGAGTTTTTGAATCTTATAAGAAATATCTCTTAGGCTTTGGAAAAGGAGGGTGCTGAAATCATGAAAACTAGAAAGAAATTCTGAAAGCCTCTCATTTTTTTCCTGTTTTGTAGGAATTTTGTCAGTATAAAATATAAGTTAACTGAAATATATAAACATGTCCTAGAGAGACGCTTATGCCAATTAACAGCAGAAACAAATCCATCCCTGATGTAACTGCTGTGGAGTTATATCAGACATTAATTAGGTGCAATGAGCTTAGTGTAAAAATAAATAAAATTTTCCTTCAACATTATTATTTTTTCTTGTTTCTGTTATTAAAATAAGAGGGAGATGTATGTTGTCATGTGACAGGCAGAGTTTCCAACCTTATGCTGTCACTGATGTAGGCAACACAAATAATGCAAGTGTACAATGATAAAAGCACTTATCCATGAACACGATAACTTTGACAAAAAACAGTAGTCTCGTACCATTTCTCAGCATCTCAGGAGAGAGCTTTTGAGAGTGCAGTATTGAAGTCTCAAGTTACGAAGACTTCATTACCTTTACAAAATTGTGTACAATCAATTGTTTTGTGCTGGAGGAAATGTCCAAAATAACCAGACACTAAACTACATTTGTCAAAATACATTAAATAAGTACTGCTTGTGATGTAATATTTTTTATTCTTTACTCACAAAACTTGGTAATCTCACCAGGGTAACTTCCTGCAGTTTACTGATGGTACAAAGTAGCAAGAGCCAACTGTATTTGTGAGTATGAGATTCACATAGAGAATGGAATTTTTTTGACACTGTTAAGCCACACAAATGAACTATGGTGTTAAGAGGCTAACCAAAGTAGTTTTGTACCAGTGAGTTACATGGATATCAGAGGGTGACACTGCATACTAGTAATGAAAGGTTACAGAGAAAGGAGCAACAAAATCCTTTCCTTCAATTTTCTCATCTAGAAGTTACAACTTTCCTTTCCTCATTTAGAATTTCAGATTTCAATAAATAATTATTAGTACAGTATTTTTTGTAGGAGTACCGAGAAAGTCACATTCAGGCCTGGCTGTGACACCTCTATTTAAGGTTGCACGTTTTATTTTAAGCCCCTGCTTTCTGTTTATAACATTACCAAACTTTAACCATTTGAGTTGAAATTTTCAATGCTTGTTCTTTGCCTCAGACTGAATTCTGGGGGGAATTTCAGCAAAAACAGTGTAGCTATTTCTGAGACCATGGTTAGAGAAAAATAGGTAGTTTTGCCAATCTTATTTTTTTGAAACTGTTTCTTTGAAGAGTTCTAGTGGCTTCATGCTTTTGAGTGGGGAACTTGAAATTTGGCAGGTGGATGGGCCTGTGGTTAGGAAGATGCCTTTCGTTGTCTCTTTGACAATCCATCCTGGCTTGGTTTAGCTCTAAGCTTCTGAAATTACTGAGCATGTGCAAACAGCAGAGCTTTTTAGGTGCTGCTGAAGTCTTTGAACATTCTGTTAACCACAAAGCTGTCAGTGCTTTAGACAGGCGTTCACCTGTACTGAGCATGCACCAGCCCTATGGAGCTCTTAAATGTCACTTGTATTAAACATGCTCCCAAGCCCTGCTTAATCTTTATCACATTGTTACAGGTATAGAACATTATCTACATTTGAAATGCTTTATTGATTTGTTTTTTTGATTTATTGATTCATGGCCTCTTGAAGAAAGAACCAGTGGACAGAGGAATACGTTAGAATGTTGATTCCACTAGTACAAAAATATTAAACTATGTCCTTTGTGCACATTAATTTGGATAACCGTTCTAATTAATAGAGGTTACATTTTTTTAGGGAAATATGTTCTTAAAAATTAACCTTAAGTTATCAGTGTAACGCTCTTTTTTTTTTTTTTGGGTATGTCTACACTGCGGCTGGGAATAAGCCTCCCAGCCTGGGGAAGACAGACTTGGGGGCTTGAGCTAGCATGCTAACAATAGCAGTCTGGACATTGAGGCTTGGGCTCTCAAGGCTAGGGGGCTGGGTGGGCTTGAGAGTCTGAACTGCAGCCTGACCAACAAGGTCCACACTGCTTTTTTAGTATACTAGCTCAAGTCCTGCTGGTGTGAGTCTGTCTACCTGGGCTTGGAGGCTCTCTCCGAGCTGCCGCATAGACATACCCTTAAAGGGCCCAATTCTCTTCTCAGTTACACTGGTACAGTTACTACTGAAATCAGTGGAAGTTGCATCCCTTTATTTGAGGGGAGAATTAGGTATCTGGGTTCAAGTTCCAAGTCAGAAGTTGGTTTCATAATTTGCCACTACAACTGTGCCATATAGTACTGTTCAGGTGAAAGTTAAAGATTGCATTGCACTTTTGTCACTACTTAAAAACTACAGGGAATAACTCTATAAATCTGTCCAGCAGTATCTGTCTGTCAAATAGGATTGTTTTATCAAAGACCCAAAGCTGCACCACCAAGAAACATGGATAATGTGGCTCTGTGTGGGCATAGGAGTCCTGCATTGTTCTGAGTCTAGGGTTCAGGCTTGACAGTGTGTGAATTGCTGATGGCTGCATAACAGGTGCTGCATAATGGATGCTGCATTGGTCTACACAACTGTTGCACCATGAGGGTCTGATTCTCATTTACACTAAGGCCCTTTTACACAGCTCTGGAACTCTGATGGGGCCTTAAAGTGAGCATATGAATTATATTTACACTTACTTTAAGACCTTTTTACACTGCACACTTTACATATTTTAAAAGGGCCTTACTGAAAACGAGAATCAGGCCCCTAGTACCTAACACATTATTGAAAGCACTTTTGGATACTTTGCACGTGAAAAGCTCTGTATAAAATTCTGTTCTATTTTAATGCCGTTTCATATTTTGTTTTGTAAATATAATTTATCAAATCTTTTCAAAAAGCCAAAGTAATCACGATAGAAGCACTTACAAAGACAATTCCTGCCAGCATATATATAATTAGGATATTGTGTTAATATTTCCATTATTAATTCCTATTTCCAGAATTTTTAAATTCATTATAATTCATTGTGAGCTGAAACTTGGTATAGGTCTCCTCCGGAAGCACTTTTTTTCCTTTATTGGATAGAGACTTCAAACCCTTCTATTGGTCCTGTTGACACCCTGATTTTTCCCACTTTGTTCTCTTCCTTTTGGATATGTATACCTTTGTCTGTGTACTGTACGCTTGAAGGATAGGTCCATCCCCACTGGTTCTTACTACTCAAGTTTCTGTTTCTGTGTCTGCAAGGCCAGACATAGGGTGACCAGAAAGCAAATGTGAAAAATCGGGATGGGGGTGTGGAGTAATAGGAGCCTATATAAGAAAAAGACCCCAAAATTGGGACTATCCCTATAAAATCGGGACATCTGGTCACCCCTAGCCAGGCATGTGATTCTTATGTTGTGGCTCTGCAGAGACAACGTATTGAAGAGGAATATGCCCTAGCCTTTTCCACATTACTTTTTGTATTTTCTCCTGCGAAGCCCTGGTGAAGGTGATTAGACATGGCTCCTTTAACGTACATTACTTTTTCAATCAACTAGAATGTGACACTAGGAGTTGACATAGGATACCTGTTTGGGCTGCTTTTAATGTTTTAGGACTTTTGTTTATATTTCTAATTTAAAATTAAAACTAAATACTGAGGACCAAATTTTTTCCTGATATAAACAGGTGGAATTTAACGGAATTAAATGGAGTTGAATTTAAAATGTTGCAGGTCATTAGTCTGTAATATGGGCAACTCCCTTCTAATATATATTGGAAATTTGAAAAAACCCTAAAATACTGAAATCTGAAAACTGTCTACGGTATATTCCCATTATATAAGTAGTTCCATTGATTTCAAGTCTGGATCCTGCTGCTTTTCATTCTGATTTTTATTATGCATATGGAACAGGGTGGCTCAGATTCTCCAATGCAACAGTGAAAGCTCTCACAGGTACTGTAGATAATCCAGAAAAAGCCTAAATTGTTAGATAAAATTAGATGAGGAGTAATGGGTTATGAAGTCTTTCACATGTGGGTCCTTGGTTTAATCTGGCCTCAGTAATGACTGAAAGTAGTTATCAGTTTACTATTGGTTTCTGTATGGAATACATGAAATTCAGCCTAGTTCCTAGTGGTGAAAACCATCATCACAATATTACCTGGCAACATGATGATATCATTGAAGAAGCTAAGGATTGAATTGGAATTTAGACTGCTCTACGCTTTTAGCCTTAGAAGTGGTTTTTCTTGTCAAGGAGCATCAGCAGGGCAGTATGGGAAAGATTGCATTACTACCTCCCATGCTGCTGTGGATAATGATAGACTAGAGATTTAGCATTCTGTGGATTAAGCTTTTAGTTCTTTTTATTTTGCATTTAAATTCAGTTATTTTTTGAAATCAGACTTTAACTGTACCTTTAGTATTATGAAAATTTAACAGTCAAATGTGTACCATGGTTGAAACCCTTTATAAAAAAATAATCTAGTATCTTCCATTTATTATAGAGTTTTAAATGGCAAACATTATTAAGTCTGAAATTCCACTTTTGTTGTAAACCTGTGTTTCACATGCTCAAATCTCTTTCAAAACGTTTTAGCGGTGAAACTTCATGTTTGCAGGGAGGAAGTTAGCACAGATCTGGGGCTTAGTCTGGAAGACACAAGATGTGCTTCTGTTCCTGGCACTGACTCTCTGTGTGATTCAATTGGTTAAGTCCCAAATTTTTAATTCTCTCTGCTAATTTTGAGTGCCCAGCTTGTGATACCTGGAGACTGATTTTCAGATACTGAGTTCCTGCAGTTCCCACTGACTTCAACTGGAGTTGCGAGTGCGCAGCTCCTCAGCTCCTCTGAAAATTTGGCCTTAGGTGTCTAAAGCTGAGCATCCAAAAATGGAGGCATGCAAAACTAGAGGCAACTTTTGAATGTTTGCCCCTAAACTTCTCTGCTACAGTTTCTCCTTCTGTAAAATAGTTATAGTAGTCATCTGCTTTATAGGTGTATTGTGAAAGTTAGCTAATTGTCTCATTTGTAAAGCACTTCAAGATCCTTGGTTGATAGATTTTATAAGTGCAAAGTAGTCATATATTTGGTCTCAACTGAAGATTGTGTTTTGAATATCTAACCCTTTGTTAAATAATGAAGATATATAAGACAGTGTTAACGCATTTATTTATAAATAAATAGGACCCAATCTTCCATGCCACTATCTTAAATGCAGGTTCCATATCATTGCATGTGGAACAGATTCCTACTGCAGTATTTTTCAAGTTAGTGACATCATGAAACAAAGACTGTCCCATAGCTTCACATCTCCATTTACAGGGATTACACAATGATTCTCTGCTATAAAAACTGAAAAAGTTAACAGTTTGGCTCATGGAGAGCTAGTTATCATACTTGGCTCAAAACAATGGCCCAATCTTGCACATTTTTTTACGAGAATGAAAAAATGAGCAAGAACTGGGCCCGAATAAAGTGTAGGGATCAGGTCAGAAAAGTACAGTTTCTTTTGTCTGCCAGTGTTTGTTTAATTATTTAGAGCCCAACGTTGCAACCCTTATTCATGTTGAGTAGTTCTTGAAGTCAATGGGACTTTACATGTGACCAGATGGTTCATGTGCATGTGCACTGGGCCTCAGTCTAAAGGGTTCTGGCTTTTAATGAAAGCCTTAAGATTCATTGAAGACTTCTGAGAATTTGTCGGCCAAATTTCCTGGCACTTCTGGAGCAAGGGCCAGGGTAAACCCTGTCTCCCAGATGGAAGAATTAGAGGGGAAGCTCTCAAGTAAAAAGATGCAGTTTCTATTTTCCTCAGGATTATTCTCACTTAGGAGAGAATAGGGTCCAAAATAATTTAGCAGTGGAAGTATACTACAGCAATTACTACTTTGCATTTATTCAAAAATATAAAAATGACTTAAAGATAGGTAAGTGATATTATTCTCTTTTAACAAATGGTGAAACTGAGGTCAAAGTTATTGTGAGCCAAATTTTCCAAAGTGGCCTTTAATTTTGAATGCTTCCATTTCTGGCTGCACAACTTCAAGCACATTGATCCTGATTTTCAGAAGAGTTGAACACCTAAAACTCCAATTGTGAGCAGCTGGTGCTCAGCACCTCTGAAAAGATACTGTGTTACTAGAGGGAATCATGTAAGTACCTAGATAACTTGGAAATGAGGGCCTAGGTGTTTGCAGCTGAACACCCAAAAATAGAGGCCACTAATAAAAACTTGAAATTAAGTGATGTACCCACAATCTCTCAATGAAATAATGGGAGAGTCAAAAATGAACACAGGATTTCCTTTGACTCCCATTATCTACTCATGTTGTCTCCCTTTTATTTAATGTTTTTCCTGCTACAATTCTACTCAACAGCAGATGCTCCATCATGTTTCTGCTTTTTTGTTGCAACCCACTGGTGTTTAGCTTCTGAATTACATCTTTAATATTGCCTACTTGAGCTACATCCTGAACGGTGTATGTCAAATGCTGATTGTGCCTTTACTGTGGTGGGCCCTAAGATGTGGAACTTATTTTCGCCTTGGCCTCTATTCCAATCCGTTACCGTCACAGGTCAATTTTAAATATCTTACTTTTTTTCCCCCAGTTTCTTTTGTATTACTTTTACATAACCATTGTTGATATCCTTATGTGCTTATATCCTTATGCATTCCCTATTTTTCCCTACGCAGTCATTGTTATAAGGAGAATGCTTTTATTCATTCTCTCACTGTAGTTTTATATGTTTATTTTATTTGCCAATTAAAAGGAGTATTTGTCCCTTACTCTAGGTGTTTTTGATGATCCTTAAATGTACAATTGCGAAAGAGATTCTTCCAGTAATCAGCCTTCAACCATTAATGGTGATAGTCACAACAACCAACAATAAAACTGCAGCAAAAAGCATATTTAATCTATCTGGACAAAGCCTTACTAGTCCTTCGTAGCTAGAGAAAATAACATGACCCTTGCAGTATGCCCTGATCATCAATACATTCTGACTATTTCAGACATTCAGGGGAGGGGAGAGAGTTCCAAAACTGAGGGGACCTCTTGGTTAACACACTGCCAGCTGCGCACTCTCTCTTACAGTAGTGGGGCTCTAGCTCGGGTGCACCCACTGATACAATTTTGACAGTATAGTACAGGGAGACAGATGGTCTCTCCAGTAAGTAGGGTCTAGGTTAAGTAGGGCTTTCCAGGTTAAAATCAACATTTTAAATTCTACCTCGTATTTAACAAGTAGCCAGTGTAGATCCAGAACCATGAGTAAAATGTGCTAATGGCAAGGTTTCTAAATTAGCTGCTGAGCCTTGCACCAGCATCAGTCTTTGGATAGATTTAAAATGTAGTCCCATCTAGAGCACATTGGGCAGTCTAATTTGGAGGTGGCAAAGGTGCAGAAGACAACTGCAAGGTCTAAACCTGATAGAAACAGTTTCAATTTTTTCACTGCATATAATAGGCAGGGTAGAGAGGGGGAAAAACTGATTTGATTGTAGTTGCTGCCTGATCTTCTGATAGCTTGGAATCTAGCCAGACTTCTAGATTGTGCACCTGTTCCACAAATGATCAACATCAACAATTTGCCTAATTCAGGCAGGCAAAAATTTTCTTTGTCATCTGTTCTGGTTGTTTCCTCAAACAACCAACATCAGTCTAGTCTAAGCAGATAGCTATCATCCACTAAGGCAACTGACTACTCTGGTACTCCTATTCCAAACACCATATCAAGAGTACTGCCCAGCATATGAGTTGATCCAGCAACCATCTGGCATAGATTCACCATTGTCATGATGTCTGGCATAGATTCATCATTGTCATGATGGCCATGAACTCCTGAGCTTTTTCAGAGAACTTGTCATCCACATGGAGATTGATGTACTGTAATCTCTTACTATCAGTTTTGGTGTCTTTAAACCCACTATGGTGAGCAACCTGAGCAGCTCCTAGAAGGATTCCATTGTGCAGCAGGGTGAGTAACAGACTAACACCAATCTCATTTTAACACTGTTGCAGGACTCTCAGAGAAGCAAGACACAGCACGCTATATATGTGAACAGTTTTGGACTAGATTTCTTGCATTTTTGGTTGGATGTAAACAAAACAGTTACACCACTCATGCTGGCACTGAATACTCAGCTGAAGTCTTGTCCAAGCAAGTCTTGGCAAACCTGCAAAGTCAGGGGCCTCATCTTTCACTGAATCCTGAATCGTTCTAACTTCATTCAAAGTTGAACCTGTATTAATCGGCAGGACAATAGGACAAGATCATTGTCCATTGACATCCTCTCCTTTCGAGAACAATTTTGGTAAAGCCAAAAACGTCAAAGTCAAACATCTCAATAATATGTATTTTCCCCTCTTTGTCTCCCCCTTCCCACTATCACAGGGCTCAAGTTACCATCCCCCAGGCCTCCAAATCCCAGCCCATAGCAGCATTGCTCCACCTCCTGGGGCAGCCTAAAACAACCACTTAAGAAGGGAACCAGATGCCAGAGCTAGATACCCAAATGCGGAACTCAAACCAAATAGTAGAATACATTTTGATACTGTAATTACCATCCAAACAGTAAAATTGTTCTCATTATCAACAGGCCATTTACCCTTGCCTCCCATCCCCAAGCTGAGTTCACTACCCCAAAAGGGAGAAAACAAAAACAAAATAATTTTTATGTGTGTTGTACTATTTATTTTATTGTGAATTGTTATACATCATTCTGAGTGACTTGGTGGTAGGTATGGGGAGACGCTTCAGAAATAAAACTAGTATTAATTCTGAAAGGACATAGGGTAGTCTTGTTTTCCTTGTATTACATGTAATATAATCACCTACTTCTACTTGTCAAATGTTAAGCTTAAGTACATTAATGATTATATGTCCATAAGAACTTTTCTATAATCCAAAATGTAGAGGTTTACATTTGCTTTTGAAATATGAGTTAATCATAGTTGTTTCTTTAAAATTACAGCTAATGAACTGATCATTTAAAAGTTTATTTTTTGTCTAGTTTTGGATTAAAATTATATGTATATTTGGCTATAATAAAAGGCGAGGCTTTGTATTAAAAAATAGGAAAGGAAAGCAAAAGAAATCACTGTTTAATTGGAGCTTTAGAGCAACAGCTGTAAAACTCACTTGGTTGTCCTAATTGCCATGAGTAATAGAAAGAGGCTTTGAAAAGTAATCCTTTGTAATGTTTAAGATAATAATTATATTCCAACCAGAGTGCAGTTGTTTTAGAATTAAGTCTGTACTGAACCAGTTAGAGAGCTGGATGTCACAAATAACAGGTGTGGAGAAATATAAATCAATGTACACAAAGAAGAGAGCTATCCTCAGGAAGCAGGGACTGAATTTAGAGCTTGAGTCCCCAAGAAAAGACTCCTCAAGGATAATAAACCTCAAGTGCTATATGACTTGAAATGGGTCGTTAAACACGAAGTTTATATACAAATGGTGGCGCACAAATACCAGTTTTCTGTTCTCTTCCAAACATGGCCAGACCTCTTTCCAGACCTGGAAAAATATGTTTTCACAAGTAGCGTGTTTGTATTTTCAAGTCCTCGTTCATTAAATGTGACAAAAAATATTTTTAGTTTTCACTCTTCAGTATACGTTCCCACACAAAAAATGCCACTTAACACTGAGTTAAGGTTAGACTGCTTATCTCACCAACAAAAAAACATAAAACATAAGGAAGTATACAATAAGTAATTCAACAAATCTTCTACACTCCACTCATCACATCCTTTTCTCAACCACAGCTGCCTCCCTTTCACTACCCACAGATCTGAACCTGAAAAACAAGCCTTAACTTAGCTAAATTTATTGGGTTTGTGTTGCTTTCATAAGTTACAGTCTACATAGTTCTGGACGTGGTTTTGTATTGGTTTGTAACTGTGGCATAGTATCAGATTAACAAGAGTGGCTGTGAGGATTTTAAAAAAACATTTAGGAAGTTTTGTGAATGGATGATGTATGCTGGTAATTGTTTGCAATTAGGCAGTAATTTTTATGTGGCAGTATCAATGTGGTATATTGGTGTATTATATTTATGGTCAGAGTTCAGGTTGAACACTGGTTGTTCAGAGGGATGAAGGAGACATGGATCACATGTGCTGGATGGGAAGTACTTAATGAATGGAGTGGAGTTGTGGTATTGAATGAGTTTTTACAGTTTGCATTGGAGGATGATGCAGACTAGCAATCTTAACTCAAAGTTTAAAACTGGAATTTCCCAGTTTTTTAAATGTGTCAGTACTATGACAGCTATCCATGTGAACAACTATTAGTACTGTACTGATATGCACAATCCTCTGTTTGCCTTCCCACCAGAATCCTCTTATGCCTCTTCATAGCTCAGCTTTCCTTCTGAATCCTGTACGGCTGAAATCTTTTCTTCCATGTCATCCTGTAGAGCTCTTGTTCCCCTCCATGCCTGATTATCTGCATACTCTCACCCCACCAATATCCCTGCTTCTTATCATGGCCTCCTACTTTCCTACTACTTTCAGCTTTTAACTGTTGATCTGTCTGTAAATATAGATGTATTTGTACTTCTATATATTCATGTTAATATACATTTCATCTAAAAGTTGTAGAAGGAGGGAAAGAGGGGATATATGGTGACCAGTTGAGAGACTGGGAGAGCTCATAAAGGAATAGAGCTGTATGGAGTCACGGGAGGAATGTGTACTACCAGTGAGGGGATGGGGGCCACACAATCCCTCCAGGCAGGAGGTCTGAAAGTGGTTTCAAGGGGTAGGGATATGGGGCAGGGGTATGAGGCATACCTTTCAACTGGCTCAGCTCCAAATCTGCAATGCAGTGTGACAAAGACCCAAAATTAAGGACACATGCAGGAAATTTAGGATGCTGTGAAACTAAGTCCTTTGAATGTAAATAGATAATTCTGTAATCTCTTTTTCTTGTAATTCTGTTGATTCTAAATAATTTTCAACAATAAAAGTAAAGGGAGATGCCAAATTTGTGTAGATTGTAGGTCACTTTGGCATTAAAATAAGTGACATCAATCAAAATGAGATATTTGAGGGGTAGGGTTATGGGTTACGGGGGCGGGGTGAAGAATAGAGAAATGGGACTTGAGTGCTGGGAGAGACCTGCAGGTGGAAAAGAAGGGGAATGGTGTTTCATCGGACTGCAGATTTTCTCCCCTCTATTTCTCCCCTTAGCTCAAACTCTTTTTCACCCTCACCTCACCTCTTCCCCTGCCCACCACAGTTCACCTCTCCCCCATGTCTCCATATCCCTGCACACCTGCTATAGCTCCTTGCCACACCATGTCCTCACAAGGATTTCCGTGCTCCCACAACCTTGCTTTGCTCTGGTCCCCTCATTTCTGAGCACCATTACTTCTCTTGGTTCCTTATGATGGTTGAGGAAGTTGGTGGAGCCAGGGAGCACTCAGGATGTGTGTAGTGGGGAATTTGGGGAATAGAATTTGATTGGGGGAACCAGGCTGTGGAGGAACCACATTGGCACTTGAAGGTCTTCCCCATCACTGCTGGCTCTGTTCCCTGTGCACTAAGTCAGCATGGACATAGGGAGCACTTGATGTGGTCTCAGTGCAGGGGCACCCGCAATTCCCCTTTCAAAAAGGGAGCAATTTTAAATGTTAAATTCAATAGTCCTCTGAAAAGTTACTGTTTTAAATATGAAGAACAAATTCGAGCTTTAAAGTGTAGAACGGTGGGATTTTAGTCCTGCTTTAAGTGCAAATTTCATTATTGTCCGAACTATTGAGTCCTTTCCAATGTCTTGTCTTTAGAATTTGGCCTACACAGTAGTATTTATAATAGTCTCTATGGATTATTCGTGCAGAGGGGAGTGGGAACTCCAAATGGGTACAGGTTTATCACCCAGCAGAAGAGGCAAAGGGTTCTTATCTCTAAACCTGTTGACCAACATAGATCTTGGGGGCTGTGGTGGAGGCAAGGTGCCTCAGTACATCCACTTCATCAGCTCCCTGCAGTCCCAGAACCTGGACAGCAAGGTTATTGTTCTAGAAATTCCCTCCAAGGGGGAGGAAATGCAAGTTACTGCAGCCTCTACAGTAATTTACATTGGCTTCCTTATGTTTCTTTGACAGGAGACCCCACCAAAAATCATTTGACCCTTCTCCCCTTTCTTCTCACTTTGCACTGCCCCTTCATTACCTGTGGAACCCTAATGGTGGTGCTTTATAGGACTGTAGAAAAGGAGCCAGTAACTGCACGCTTCTCTACCCTTCCAAAGCCAGGATCTCTTCTGTTCACCAAATCAGAGGAAAACATAGAGACCTATATTTGGAGCCCAATCCAATAGTTCTTAATCATGCAAAAATCTCATTGAAGTCAATAATATTGAATGGGGTGTAATTCCAGGAAGAGTTTGGCCCAAATGGCGTTTTGCCTGAATAAGAACTCCAGAGGTGGTGTGCTTTTGTGTGCTTCATTTTAGGGTGGGATAACTTAAACCATTAAAGGTAACGTTAACCACATCTACATTTAAAATTAGGACATTTAGATACTATCTGTACATTAATCAAAGGTAATCTAGCCCTTGGTTTCTCAGAGAGGTTCTACTTATATCAATCACCATAAGCATTTTTTTGAAGTTGGTCATTTTATATAAAAACTGAAAATGAATATTTTCTGGGACTTAATGAATAATGAAAGAAAAAGAAAAGGAGTACTTGTGGCACCTTAGAGACTAACCAATTTATTTGAGCATAAGCTTTCGTGAGCTACAGCTCACTTCATGCATCGGATGAAGTGAGCTGTAGCTCACGAAAGCTTATGCTTGCATCCGATGAAGTGAGCTGTAGCTCACGAAAGCTTATGCTCAAATAAATTGGTTAGTCTCTAAGGTGCCACAAGTACTCCTTTTCTTTTTGCGAATACAGACTAATACGTCTGTTACTCTGAAAGAAAAATAGTGCTGCCAAATACATTCTCCAAATCCTGGTCTCT